AATCCTAAATAAGCATAGTTTTTGTTGCAATTGTCTTCATATTTCTGGATTTATGGTTGTGTTTAACAATATCACAATTGTTGCTAATTTAGTAAGCGGTAGTTTCAAGTTTTAAATTTTGTTTTACTGCTTCCCTGAATGAGTAATTGTAATCTGATGAAGGCTCTTTGTGTTATTTCATCAGGTTTCCGCTGTACTACCATGTGAAGTTTGCATTTCTTGTTTGGTTACAACTTCCATCCTCAAATGTAAGCACGGCTAAATTGCTTTTACTATGTAGTGCTTCTTTTTAATTCCTGCTTGCAATTGATTTCTTTGTTAGTGGTATTGATTTTAGTTTGAGAGAACTTCCATTCTTTACCAGTGCTTCTTTTTCTTCTTTTTTTTTTTTTTTTTTTTCTGTTTCACTCCAAAAACTAAATGCGTCGTGTATGTTCAGTTTTTCTGATACTATGAAGGTTTAGAAAATACTCCAAAAAGTACACTGAAGTGAGCTCTTAAAGAGCTTGACTAACTGCTTGCTGTTTAACAGGGGGCAAAGCATCTGTATACAAGCCTTCTGCGTCCATTCTTTCTGAGGCATCAAGCCCGACTTGATCAAGCTGTGGATTTTATATATGGTCAAATGGTAATTACTTCTTTGATATTCTTATGATGTAAGTGTTTGTTTAACCAGCCTTGCTATTTGCTGAAATTATTGTAGATATGGTAAAATTTATTGTCGAATGGTATTCTGCATCATCATGCCACTCATTGAGACCTCATGTTTACATTGACTTTTCTTGTCCACTTCTGAGTGCTGCTGAGGCTTGTTTATGGTTGCACATTCTTGAGGGCTAATAGATTCTGAACTTGCAGAGTAAATTCATCAGTTCACACCAAGGAGATTTACAGTTTGCGAGGGTGCTTTTCATGAAGGTTTTGGCAGCAGGTATGGATGGAAACGATTTGGACTATTTACGTATGTTAGTGTTATATATCTAGTATGATACATGTGGTATTGTTAACAAGAAAATTTCACAAATTATTTGATAAGATTGCCTACTTATATTTTTGTTTTCTTCCCTTTTCTCTTGAATCAGCAAGTGGGGTAGTTAAGGGTGTTGTGCCCCACGGGCAAAGGCAAGCAAGTCCGGCGATTGAAGACCCTGCGAAACAAACTCAGGACTCTGAATCAGAAAAAGATGAGTAGAGCATCACCAGTTTCCGTGACCAGAAATACATGTTTCATAGATCTGGTAGTTAAAGTGTTGAAACTTTTTTCTTTTTGGGTCTCAATAGATCTTGTACATAATACACAAATATTGTATGTTTCTAGTTGCTTGTGGAACCCAAGTCCTCATTCAAGAAGTGATCTTTGACTATTATTCTTGACATGAATTTTACTCTTCACCTCGTTTAACGTCCAATTTGATTTCACAAAGGTTTGTGTATGGGAAAACCATTGACCAACAATGACCAACAGAGTTTGAGGATGACATAAAAAAAATATTGAATGTCAAAATTTGAACCATCGGATTAAAGGAAGTTTGTTTCACTAAAACACCCAAAATGGGGGCTGAAATTATAAAAAAACCCAACATCCAAAATACTTTATAAACACACTCAAAATTCATCATTACACACACTCAAAACCCATTTATAAACACACCCAAAAAATATACAATTGTTGATTTTGGGTGTGTTTCTATGTTTAAATAGTGTTTGGGTTTTTTTATAAATACATGTCTAGGATTGGATTTATTTATAAATTTGTAAAAGGAATCAAATTGTTCGATGACTACAAGTGCTGCTAAGTTTTTTTTATAAAAAAACTAATGAGCATTTTGTTATGCTAATGATAATTTATTTTAGTAACAATAGTCTATTTTATTAGAAAATAAATAAATAAATTTAAATTTCATGCAATTATTATTATTATTATTTTCTAAATGAAAATGTAAATTCAAGGAGACTGTTGCATTTACCCGCCCCTTGAAATTTAACCATAATCAGGATAAATTAGAATAAGGCTTTTTATCACAAATGGTCCTTGAAGTTTATGAAATTATCACGAATGGTCCTTGAGGTTTTTTTGTGACACTAATAGTCCTTAACGTTTGAACTTTTTATCACAAATGGTCCTTGCTGTCAAAAATTCTGTTAAGTGTATGATGTGGAAGATAAGTGGAGCCCACATGTACAATCACATCGTGACATGTGGATTAAATAAATAAATAAATAATTTTTTTTTTATGAAAATCCATTAAAAAACCATTTAGCCTCTCTCTCTCTCTCTCTCTCTCTACTCTCTAAATGGTTTTTTTAATGGATTTTCATAATAAAAAAATATTTATTTATTTATTTAATCCACATGTCACGATGTGATTGTACATGTGGGCTCCACTTATCTTCCACATCATACACATAACAGAATTTTTGACGGCAAGGCCCATTTGTGATAAAAAGTCCAAACGTTAAGGACTATTAGTGTTACAAAAAAACCTCAAGGACCATTCGTGATAATTTCGTAAACGTCAAGGACCATTTGTGATAAAAAGCCTTAGAATAATAAACCAAAATTAATTAATATTTTAAAACCCATATGCCTTCTTCATTGCTCTAGTCAACCATTGTCTGAAGATGACAAGTACCAGCTTCCTCTCTGCTTCTCTCTCTCTCTCTCTCTCTCTCTCTCTCTGAAGACTCAAGCATTGCTGAGAAGGAAAAAGGCATGGTGGGTCGCCGAGAGAAAGCGCAGTCTTTCTGCAAATCGAGGGTCGGCGTTGCCATAGCAATCGGAGTCCTTCTCGGCTGTGTCTTCGCCTTGTGCTTCCCCAGTGGCTTCGTTTCAATTTCCAATCCGGCCCCTATTCTCAATCACCGCTTCGTCAAATCCATTGCTCAGGTTGTTCTTAATCTTTTTTTAAAATTTGGGTTGTTCTTCGTTTACTTACTTTTCTTATTTTTCTAGTTCTCTGTTTGAGCGATTGCTGAGGGCTTGAAATTTTGAGCATTTTCAATGAATGGATGATTGGTGATTGGGTTTTTTCAATTTGATGACAAATGAAGCCCGTTGACTTGAGATTTTGGTGGATTGACTTTTGATTGAAACCCATTGATTTGTGTGTGTACTCTGTCCCAATGATGGAAATCAGATTATATGCTATCCTTTTTTTTTTGGTCAAATCAGATTATATGCTAGGCATACTGAGAAGTTAGTTTGATTTGAATTTTGATGTATGCTTTGTTTTCAAGCGCTTTCATTCCCCATTTGGGCATTTTTGTGAACCTTTGACATGAGACGACTATCATTTATGCATACTCAGTTAACATGATTGTGGGTTTCTTGTGATCCTTTAATTGCCATACATATAGCTTCTCTGGAGTTCTGAATTGCAATAGCTAATCTTAGAACCGATCGACATAGTTTAATGTGTAATTTTGAGGGTCATAAACATGATATTTATATTTTTGGTCATTTGTGTACTAGGTTGGTTCTACCCTGTGTGAATCATCTGAACGGATCAACCTGTTGAAATCAGAGTTTGTGGCAGCTTCTGAGAAAAATGCCGAGTTGAAGAAGCAGGTTAGGGAATTGACTGAAAAGATTCGGTTGGTGGAACAAAGGAAAGATCAGGCAGAAAAACAGGTTCTTGTGTTAGGTGATCAGAAGAAAGCTGGGCCTTTTGGTACTGTCAAAGGCTTAAGAACCAACCCTAGTGTTCTTCCTGATGAATCTGTGAATCCAAGATTAGCAAAGATTTTGGAGAAAGTAGCTGTTAATAGAGAGCTTATAGTTGCACTTGCAAATTCAAATGTGAAGCAAATGTTGGAGGTATGGTTCACTAATATTAAGAGAGTGGGCATATCCAATTATCTGGTTGTTGCTTTGGATGAAGAAATTGCAAAGTACTGCGAATCAAAAGATGTTCCAGTTTATAAGAGAGACCCCGATAAAGTCATTGATTCAGTTGCGAGGACTGGAGGGAACCATGCTGTCTCTGGGTTGAAATTTCGAATTTTGAGGGAGTTTTTGCAGCTGGGATATAGTGTTCTTCTGTCGGATGTTGATATTGTGTACTTGCAAAACCCTTTCGATCATCTATACCGTGATTCAGATGTAGAGTCGATGACTGATGGTCATGACAATATGACTGCTTATGGCTATAACAACGTCTTTGATGAGCCAGGAATGGGCTGGGCTCGATATGCGCATACAATGCGTATGTGGGTTTATAACTCTGGTTTCTTCTACATTAGACCTACAATTCCTTCAATTGAGCTGTTGGATCGTGTGGCCAATCGACTGTCCAGGGAGCAGGCTTGGGACCAGGCAGTTTTCAATGAGGAACTCTTCTTCCCTTCTCATCCTGGGTATGAGGGGCTTCATGCTTCCAGGAGAACTATGGATTTCTATCTTTTCATGAATAGCAAGGTCCTCTTCAAGACTGTGAGGAAAGATGCTAATCTGAGCAAGTTGAAGCCGGTAATCGTTCATGTTAATTACCATCCTGATAAGCTTCCTAGAATGATAGCAATTGTGAAATTTTATGTCAACGGAAAGCAGGATGCTCTGAAACCTTTTCCTGATGGTTCAGATTGGTAAAAGATTGTTCCCGCTAATCATATATACACGCTTGGGACATTTTGATACTTTGTGTTCAAAAGAATTGGAACGTAAACTTTCCGTAGCATACTTGTGTTCAAAACAATATCCAAGAGTTGTAGGCTTAAAGACTTATTTTTGAATTTTTGAATTATTTTAGGAATGTCAATCCTCTGCCATTAAAAGAAAGGAAAAAAAAATTCCATAAGTGGATTTCGTTAGCTTAGTACTCCTTTACTAAGCACACGTTTATTTACATCAAAATTGCATGAATAAACTTACTTTTGTATCAACACTGCAGAAGTCATTCCATTTACATAAAAATTCTATGTGCTCTTGCATCAAAATGTGTGTATTTTACTTGTACATATATCCCCAAAAAAAGAACACAACAGACTTATTTTTGTTTCAACTATGGCCATTTCTATTTATAATTAGAAAAATCTTTACGGTTCCACTCTCCAATCCAAGTCTCACAACATTTAGTAGAAAACCATCAGTTGGCACAAAACAGGCAAAAATGATGAGATGGGAATATTTTTTTTCCTTTCTTCTTTTCATTCTGGAGCTTTCAACTACAATATAAAAAAAATCAGCAGCGTGGTTATAGCCCCAAACTAAGCATTAGAGGATCGGGACTTGAGTTGTCTCTGCTTGGAGTTTTCGGTTCAGCGCTGTTGCTTTCGCCATCAAAAGATTCAGGGCTGTTGCATTTGCCATCAAAAGACTCAACTTTCGCAGCTTTGAGATCAGAAACAGCATCTGGACCATAAGTCTTCTCTAGTTCATCCTGTTCCATTGGCAAATCAATTTCATGAATTGTTTCTTTCTTCCAGCATTAGAAAGTAAATAAAAGGAAAATAATGAATATCATATTGAAAGTGAATAGGTGAAGCTAAATTCACAAATGGGGTAAAATAAGGGGCAAACGATAATGAATAAGTAGAGTTTAGATGACGAACAATTGTGTCATTGTTTTCTTCATTGAGTTTCTCACATTTCTCAGAAAGCCTCCATAACTTTTGTGGGATCTCGGAAATTTCCCTCTGCAGTGTCTCCGCAGTTGCTTGTAGCTTCTCACATTCCTGCTGGGAAGAAATACAAAACCAAAATATCATATGAAGCACAGCTATTGCCTAAGGGTGAAATAAGTAAAACTTTTGTAACAAATGAGACCAGTCAACTAAGAAGTCAAAATCAACTAAAAACAGAAGAGACAATCCTTGCCTACTCTTGAAATATACTGTACCAAATCTTTTTCTTATCCCTTTTCAATCACAATTCTACAGGATGATACCAGAATGACACTAATAGTCACAAGGCTCCAGCAAAGGTTACTCTATAAGTTCTATAATATGCAACCACAAGATGCCCCTAAGTAGCCCTACTGTCACAGGAAAGACTGCTTTTCAAGCTAAGCCACTACTTCAATATCCAGGCCAAATATGTTTTTTTTCCTCTTGCACAGGCAGAATCGTTTGCATCACTTCTGATTCCTTTGTTTTGTAATCAGTGTTTGGGCCTATATGGGATACACAATGGGTTATTCTATTCAGTTCCTCTTTGGTGCTTTATGTCTCAGACAAAGAGATACATACAAGCAATGAATGAGGAACGCAGATAGACAGAGCTTAGATGACCTTTCTAATTTATCATGTTTAAAATATCTTTTTGATGTAGTATGAACTTCTGCAGCTGATGTAAACGATACATCTCCAATCTACTAATACCAGAATATTTTCAAGGAAGGCTAACTCAGAATTAGATGGAGGAAATTTCAATTTTCACTCATTGAATTCCACGTTAGCTTTCTTAATTATGATACCAGTAATATGAAAAACAAAAGTTCAGGCTAACCATGATGGAATATCCAAAATGTGTTTACTATTGCCTAAGGGTGGTACCTAGGCACCTCAACTAATATCTATACAGTTATCTGATATCTGAAAGTTCACTCATTCTGACCATTTATATAAGCAATCAAAAGTTCAAAATTAGAAAAAGGTTGAGGGTATATCTTGTATTTCCTTGAAATTTTAAATCCCCATTCCAGAGATTGCTTATATCAACTGTCAAGAGTTCAAAGCTAAGGTTGAGTTCATGCTGGTTTGAAAGTTTAAACATCCTTGTACTTTTTATCACTCCTCTCCAAATCCATGAGAGACATAAGCAAATCCTTGCATAGAAACCAAGACACTGTTTTCCTAGAGTGGCAATATTGAACCTTAGGATCCAAGTAGTGTTTGATAGAAGCTGTACTTTTTGTTCTAGAATTTTTTTTTAAAACTTCGATATCATGCATTTTCACAATTAGGTCTTGTTTGCTTCATACTGAAAGTTTAGGCTTTTATTATGCAGTGATTTCCCTCTATTTGTTCGAATTTAATTTGGTTAATAAAAGTGTGCATTCTAAACATTCACAAGGGTAACAAACAAAACTGATCCTAAAATCTCTCACCCTATAATACAAGGAAAGAAAGATGATTGATAAATGAAACCTCTATATATACACGTGCACACACACACACACACATGATAAATGGAACCTCTATAAATTACACACATACACACATGTTGTCAGCTGAAAGACTGCATAAGTACATTACCTGTCTGCGTAATCTTGACCTCTTAGCTGACTCCCTATTAGACTGCTTTCTCTTTTCTATTCTCTGTTCATAATCTTCCTGTCAAAGCAACAGAAGGGGTCAACAAAAGAACAAGAGTTGCATAGGCTTATTCCAGTTGATAGAAGTGAATAGAACTGTTAAAGTTTACAAGAATGATAGCTAATCCAAAGGATCATACGTCCATATCACAAAGGACTCAGGCTATACAAATAAAGATAAGAGCATTTTTCATTGCATATGTTCCTGTAAAGTATTCTCTCTTTTCTTATAAGCAGACAAGTTTGTAATTCTATGAATCATGTGTGCCAAATTCAAAACCTGTGAATCTGTCATGAGTGAAAATTTAAACATGGGATTATACAAGCAGTCTACATAGAAGGTTCTATAGTGCACATCTATGGTGGAACTGCAATTGCTGGTAAAATAATCATCAAGATTTACCAATATAAAAAATAACTTTAAAAGGTGAACATGATAGCTATTCTCAAACATTGATGCTCAAATAAAAATAGAAAGGAAAATCATTGATGAGTACGCTGCTAGTCTCCAACCACACAATACACATCAACAATTCTAAAGTTATTATTGTACCTGAGAAACACAGTAGGCTAGACTCTAGATCATAGCAGAAAAGAAAAAAACACAAAAACAATTGATGAAAACATGAAATCAAACTGTCAAAATAAAAATGAAACCAGTTATGAATCCAGTTCACGTGCATGATTTCTCATACAAGCATCATTGCTGAAGCCACTACAGCTGCGGAACCAGATAGATTTTGCCTCACCTTGGTACGTATGGCTTGACCGCTGGAGACATTGAGGCCCATTCCCAAATCCAAATGGGTCTCAGGCACGTTTACCCCAAAATCCTGAAATGCCAAATCTGTATTTGTACCACTATACTGGTCTGTAGAATTATTCTCAGCATCCCCTGTTCAAGTTCAAGCACCAGAAATCATCAATTAAATGGTTTAAATAATGAAAGCATTGATCTTCAAAGCATACCATCTTGATGCATCAGGTCAAGCATTTGATTTTGAGTTGCTGAAAAATCCTGGAAAGAAAAAGAAAAGGTTTGAACCATATTAGTATACTCATCTTGTGTTCTATCTGTCAGTCACACAATCTCTTCAGAGGAACAGTATTTAATCTGGTCTGCTAGGCCATACCAGTAACCGAGGAAAAAATTAAATTTAAATCTATTGAACATAAGATTAATTAGAATGACATACGCGATTAGCGTCACCACTCTCATCTGATGAGTCCTCACCTCTGCTTGCAGCACTGTTGAAAGAAAACTTTTGCATGAATATATACAAATACATGTTAGGGAAGGGATTAATCATGGAGAGGAATTAACAATACCTTTGTGAAGCACCAACACCATTATTTCCAGAAAAAGAAATTGTCTTCTCACTTTCCGCCAATCCATTACCTACAAACTCCGTACCTACTGAGCCTTCCTCGTATATTGTCAATGATTCTGTGTACTCATCAAAAAACGTTTCCTCTTTCTTCTGAATTTCAAAGGGCGCACCCTGCCCATTTAGTTTAATTGGTTGCAAAAATGTATTCAGTCATCAATGTGCAAGTAACTTCGCTTAATCATGATATAGAAAATATTTTCCTTGGGGAATGCAAGTATCTGCCTTTTATTTTTAATTTTACCACCAAAAACTCAAAATCATAACCCTTCATTCACAATATATATTTGTATGGGATTTTGGCAAACCCTACTAAAGTTTGGTATGATGAAAGGCCAAGAGACAGAAACTAAGACAGGGAAGATATTATAAAATTAAATTAGGATATGCATAATCATCTGGAGAGAGAGAGAGAGAGAGAGAGAGAGAGAGAGAGCCGCACCTGAGTTGAAGGTTCACTGCTTTCCCTAGTCCCCATTAGTGTGGAAGGTATTGCAAACCTACTGTTTATGAACTCCAATAACTAAACGACTAAGATAAACAAAAGAACTTAAATCAGACAAAGCATGCATTACATCCCATCAAACAAAAAAAAGAAAGGCAAACAAGGTGGTTCTTAATTGAACACACAGTTCTGAGTTCAAATTTCCAATCTTTATTTTTTTAGGATAAGAATACCAAAGCCCTTCCACTCTGAGCTGAGATTAACAACGGATAAATTTCATAGCATTTACTTCGCAGTTTCAAATTGAATACGCAGCCAAAACTAAACATATTGACATAAATTTTCTCAAACAACCCACCAGAAATTATTGGAAGTACAGAACAATGAAAACAATCAATATCAACTTTTCAATGCTAAAATTCTCACAGAAATATATCTGTATATAAAACAAGGCAAAATCAATATCTATACTGCTTACAAACATCATAACAACAAAAAGTAGAGCGAAACAAGAACCTGAAACAAATTATTGATTTTTAAACAAGTTGACAAGAAAAACGAAAAAAATAAAATACCACAAACCCAATTGAATTTGTCACCAAGGAAAAGAAAAAGGGCCAAAATCCCATTCCAAGAAAACTAGAGAGAGAGAGAAAAAAAGACCTGTGGCTGTGTTTGTGGCGCCAAACGAAACACAGAGAGAGAGAGAGAGAGAGAGAGAGAGAGAGAGAGAGTGCTGAGTGCTGAGTGGGTTTGGTTTTGCAGTCTTACAGGTTGAGCCCATAATAATACATGGGTATGGGATCTTTCCTATACGAACGAGGTTAAAAAACGAACGGTTAGGATCGTTTGTGGAGGATATCCAACGATCCACAAGCATTACCTGCCTGCCGTGCTATTTCTACCTTTCGTTTCTACTCTGTCCCGCTGCGATTAGGAAATACACGTCTTTCTTCTTTTTTTACAGAAAAAAAAAAATTAAAAAGCGGTCCCGCGCTTTTCTTGCTTTTTTGTTTTTGGTTTTTTTATTATTCTGTATTTAGTTATAGATTTGGTCTCTTCCCATAAAAAAATAAAAATAAAGCCTTTCTTTTTTCTTACATTGAAGGAAAGAAAACCCACTAGGGTTCGATCATGCGTAACCCACTGGGGTTCGATCATGCGCGCCATAGGGAGAAGGGGGAATCCACCACCACTGTGATGGGAAAGCTTATCGATTGTTTTGCTTATGTGCTTTGTGTCAAATCTCACTGTCCCCTCTAAACTTCTATGTATCCATGGGGCTTCATTCCGCATTCCCTGTCCCCTCTAAACTTCTATGCATCCATAGGGCTTCATTCCGTATTCCGTATTCCACATTACTTCATTCCATGTGAAATTTGGTTAGTCAAACCGCTAACTTGTTGATACGATATGGACTATTTAGTAAATTTAGCTATTGAAAAAATTTTAAATCCAAATTAAATATAACAAAACTATCTCCAACTTTCCGAAAAGAAGGAAATGTTCTAACCAAGCCAAATAAATCATCCTCTACACATAAGTTGGTTTATGTTGTGTATGTAATTTCAACCATAACCAAGGTATAATGTCTAAACTGGCAAAGAGTTCGACTGACTGAAAATTTGGATCTGTTAAATGGGAGCCTTTGCATTCCAGTAGAGTTCAATGTCAAAGGTAAAGTTATAAGTGATTTCTGAGAATATGGAGCTATCTCTTTTTCTTTCCATGTTTCCCAGATTTGGACGGTCCAGCAGTTGATGCAGATGCAGCAGGATCCTGCTTCTTAGTCCTGCCGGGATGTCTAGGAACCAACTCGGCAACTTTGAGCATCAGCTGTTTCCCTGCAAATAGTCACCCAAAAAAAGAATAATGAATATAATTATAAATCGAAAGGCACAAGAACAGATATTTCTATTCTGTTTTAGCTAAACTATGCAAGAGTGCAAAGACATCCTTCCCGGGACTAATGAGACAACCAGACAAAGGAATCAATTTCAAACTTTCACTGAAACAACTTAAAAAACAAAGTCCATTTATCTAAACATAACCCTATTTATCCCTGATATCCCAAAACCAAGTTGTTCCGACCTGAACTCTCTTTGTAGATGCTGACATTGCTAAGAACCAATTGTTCAGAATATAATCAATGTACTATCATACTCAGATTTGAAACCAGGATATCTAATTAAAACATTTGTAATGAAACTCTTTGCAAGCAATATTGAGACCATAATGCTGCCATAAAAGAGTGGGTGCCATTCAATAATTTCCTTAACACATATATCTTTGTCAAAACAACAATTCTCTACTTGCCCAGTATCAAAAACATTATGTGAGGGATGCTCAAAAAACCACATTTATTTTAACCGGTATTAAATAATCAGATTAAACGAGTATGTTGCACATTCAAAGAAGCAATTGATAATTAGAGAAGTTCATAAAGTTAAAAGGTGCGTACAGTAGTTGTTAAGCAATACTTACTGGTTGTAATGGCTGGATTATATGGAGTTCCATCTTCCCTTTTCAGCAAGACCCTCACTCTCCCTATTTGCATAAAATCCCGCGAATAAGCCTTATCTATCTACATCATTCAAACACGCAGAATGCATATATTAGTAACACTCACACCCACTGCTGGAACTCTATATACATAAATTCTAAGATACAGATAGTGCATATGTAATGATTGCAAACCTCAATCGCAAATGGGAGCTTGAAATGGCTGCAGCAATCACCGATTTCAGTGCAAGTAGGACTCTCACACGCTTTCTCTACACTTATTCGTCTCCCTTCAGCTACGGTTTTCTTTGAATTAATATAAATAGGATATATCACAACCCATCTCTTTATATTGGGGAGGTCCTTATCCATGTCTCAAATAACAAAAATCCTACAAAAAAATAAAATCGAACAGGAAAACACAAACCCATTACATTTCTTCCTTCCTAAACATGAATAAACAAACATCAATCCAGAAACCCCGAAACTCCGGAAAACCCAGATAATGTATGCATATCTATGATCTATGAACACAGATGGCAAGAAACATAAACAAGAAAAAAAACAAAAAACATATTACACGACATACGACACAACCATTACCACATAATTCATCACAATAGCAGCAAATTAAGAATAATTAAAAAGATTTTAAAAAAAACTAAGTTAAAAGACTACCTTGTCAGTTGCAGGCTGCAGAGAGATTTGGGGCTGAGGAAATGAAGATTAGGGAATACAATGCGCTAGGTGGCCACGGAGAGGAGAGAGACGGAGACAGAGCTTAGAGGAGGTGGCGTTAGAATGAGGAAGGTTCGATCAACCCTAACCCTAAACTATTGCCCTTTTTTATCCTTTTTTTTTTAATTTTTTAATTTTTTTGGTGAACTAATAGTAGTTCACAGGTAATAGTTCAAGAAGTTAGAGGTAGAACACGGTCATAGTTCAAATAGGGAAATAAAGAGAAAAGGGCAGATCAAAATAAAACAAAATCTAAGAAAATAGAAATCTTGTACTCATCTAAATGAATAACCCCAACCCACCAATGATCAGTGGAAGAGAAACCCAGATAAAACAACACCTTTAGAACTCAGAAATACAAAAGGGGAATTACAAAGAGTATATTAATAAAATAAAATAAATTTAAAAGGACTTGGGAATAGAGGCGCCTCTAGCAATTCCACCGCCCCTGCAGAACTTGATCTTCCTGCATCACAGAATAACAAAGAATATATTAATATATAAAAAAGTTGGAACAAAAAAAGCTCATACAAAAAACAAAATACAAGGAAAGCCATGACTGAAGCAAGCCCTACTCTAGCTCTGAGATCTGAGATATGAGATCTGAGATTTGAGATTTGATCTAAAAGGACCGCCCAGAGCCAAAGAAATGTCCTAGAAAAACTAGGGAGATAACAAACTCTGTCAAAAGCAAGGAGATAGCCAAAAAATAGAGGGATCGGGGTGAAAACCACCGGATCTAAAAAGAAAATTAGACGAGAAAGGGGTCGCCGGGTTGTTTTGGGAGAGAAGAGCTTACAAAAGAAAAGTGGTAAGTTTCGATTTGTTTGAGGAGTAGGAGACGGGAGGTTGAGGAGAGAGAACGAGAGGTGGGTAATCCAGCGAATATTTTATTGGATTACAATTATCAGGCTCTAATCAAATACTAGTCATGAAAAATTACCGTTTTGGTGTTAATCACAATAATTAGTTTTATATTTATTATATTTAAATCAATTGTCACCAAAATATTAAATGGGAGCTTCACTAATATATCCAAAATGGGGGCTGAAATTATAAAAAAATTCCACATGAAAAACACTTTATAAACACACCCAAAACCCATTTATTAAATAACAAATTAGTGCTGAAGTTCCAATAAATTACACGCACTACCACTACAAAGCCCAACAGAAAAAACTCAAAAAGCACCCAAAACAACCCCAGCCCAATTTTATAAAAAAGGCCAAAGATTTTACCATCTCGAAAATCGTAATTTCGTTCAAAAAAATGGAAAACAAAACCGTAACTTCCAGCACGCGACTTCAATTAACCATCTCTGCCAAACGTCCCTTCAATCACCGTCTTCATAAAAGCGTCTTCTTCATCTCTCGAAATTGAAACTCCACAACCACCACCAAGCTTGATCTACTGTCAAAAACAAACACCACACACTGACCTCCACCTACAAAACCAAGACAACATTTCAAAGAACAATTTCAACAAAAAAACGCTTCAAAGGTAAGACATTTACAAACCAAACCTTAATCTGCGTTTCTCCTTTTCAATGCTCCTATCTGTGTGTTGGCATAATCCAACATCCGTTGCGACTTTGCAATTTGAGCCTCCAAGGAAGCCACAACCCTGTCAGACCTTTGTGCTATATGCCGATGATCTACCCGTGTGAGTCTACTGACAGCCATGCCTCCCAGCAATATTACTCTGTTTGGCATTGCCTCAGTGAAGGTTGAGGCCGTGCCATGATGGTAGGAGGAGTTTGGGAAGACATGGTTTGGAGGAGTATTTATTTGGGCCGACGATGGTGCAATTGATAAATTCAGATTGAGATCATCGAGGGGAGTGGATGAGGCTGTCATTGTTTTTCTTGATTATTTGATGATTTTCTCTGAGTTTTCAGGAAGAAATGCAGGGCACTCCTCAACTTAACCGAGACGTGATTCAAATATACTTCTGTTGATGAGGGAGCCGACAACACTTCAGATCTCCAAAGTGTTGTCCTTTCTTTTGCCCTTTTCTCTCGAATTCCTTCGCTTCCCGAGCATTTTGCAGTCGTATCCTTTTAAAAGGGAGTATTTTCTACACCTTCACTTTACTTTTAACCTCCCTGTTTTATGATGGATTGTGTTTTCTACTGTACTTTCCAATTGTCGTCATTCTTTTGTTTAAGTTTGGGAAGGATGTTTTCTAAATTTAAAAAATAATAATTTTTTTTTTTTGCAAACTTTATTCTTTTATTTCCAAGTTAAAGAAAAAACTAATAATACAACAGAAATCATTTCTTCACGGCTCTCTGTGTCTCGACCATATGAGCTTTTAGTTTGGCCCTCTGGATGTCCTCTTTTGGGTTTTCACGTACAGCCTTATGGGGCTCATCACTTGAGCTCCCAAAGATCACACTCTTAGCTTGAGCACAACTTCTCTTGCGATCTAGTTTCTTGCATTTACCCTATCGCTCTAGGGCCTCCAGCTGCTTTCGCATGTCTTGAGAGTAAAAATCTACCATCTTTAATAGCTTTTGATTCTTTTCCTTCAATACTTCCAGCTGATGTTGATTCACCTCCGCCTTCTTTGACCTCTTCCTTTTCAAGCTTCTTATAACACCCTGACATTCTTCAACCAAATTATGATACGCCATCAACCGAGCCATAAGCACCTCCACCTCATTGGATTTCACAATTAAGCGATAATCCACACTTGCGACACATGCCGCACTTTGCACGCTCAATGCCAGGGCATCGCTCATGATTCGGTTTTCATCCTTTGTCTCCAACACACATATATCTCTGGGAGTTAATAAATATCTCTCAACTCCAATGGCGACATCGTTGCCCAGGAGTATTGAGTCATTTACTGTCACGGGTCCATGTGAGGAAGCAAAGTAGGGCATCCATACTGGTGCCGCTCCCTGACCCCATGTCTGGGAAGGAAGACGCCATTTGATTTCTTTCTTCTTTCTTTTCTCTTCTATGTGTTTTTTATCTTATGTTTTCCCCCCTCTTTCCCTTTTATAGACGCAATTTTTTCTGAACCCTAGCCACTACACTTTTAATTTTCGTGTGCCCTCTACGTCTTACGTCCATTGGAGTTGCGCCCACCGACTCAGACATGGGGTCAAGGAGTGGCACCAGTATAGATGCCCTACTTTGCTTCCTCACGAGGACCCGTGACAGTAAACAACTTTGCTTCCTCACGAGGACCCGTGACAGTAAACGACTCAATACTCCTGAACAATGATGTCGCCATTGGAGTTGTGAGAAATTTAGTGACTCCGGAGATATACGTGTGCTGGGGACAAAGGATGAAAACTGAATCATGTGCGATGCCCTAGCATTGAGCGTGCAAAGTGCGGCATGTGTCTCAAGTGTGGGTTATCACCTAATTGCGAAATCCAATGAGGTGGAGGTACTTATGGCTCAATTGGTGGTGGAGCAGAATTTGGTTGAGGAATAAGAAGCTTGAAAAGGGAGAGGTCAAAGAAGGCGGAGGTGCATCAACATCAACTGGAAGTATTGAAGGAAAGAATCATAAGCTATCAAAGATGATAGATTTTTACTCTTAAGACATGTGAAAGCAGCTGGAGGCCCTAGAGTGACTGGGTAAACGCAAGCAACTGGTTCTTAGCATGATCATCTCTGAACAACTGGTTCTTAGCAGTGTCATCATCTACAAAGAGAGATGATCATGGACTCTCTTTGTAGATGCTAACACTTCTAAGAACCAGTTGTCCAGAGATGATCATGGACTTATTATGCCCCAACACTAGAGACAAGGATCTCTATTGCCTTACATGTCATTCCCATTACCCACCCCCGCCCAAAGCGTGACAACCCAAAGCATGAAAACCCGATAAGGGTGACCAGAAATGATAGAATGGACAACTCAGGAGTATAACACAGCTTGAGTCACGGATTAGTCAAACCCTATGTATAAGGTGATAGTAAACTGAACTGCCAAATATCACAATAGTTTTTTTTGTAGCAATATACATAATGACTGTACCTGGCTAGAACTGCCAACAAGATGAGGTATACCTCAAACCAAGGATTAAAAAGAATAGTAATCGAGATTTTCTACCTACAATATTCCCCCTCACTATTAATCATATGCAGTCAGGGAAAGAAAAATGGACAAGCTATAATTAAGGGAACTTATTTCACTGTACCCTCTGAAAATCTTTCATTACTTGATGCAATATTGTTGCACGACATTTTACCATAAAATCATTACTAACCGATGCTCCTAACCTTGATAGAAAAATATAGAATTATTCTACTTTTTCTTCTCCTGAAAACAGAATAGTAGCACCACACATCACACTGAACCACTTAATGCGTGTAAAAATTATCACTTATCAATGCTAATGCTTTTGTTACACCATGTTACAATGATTTGGTCATAGGCAAAAATTCCAAAACTTTCAGGAAGAAATGGCCAGCTAAACGTGAACTAGAGGAAAAGAGGTTTATTTCTTTTTGGGAGCTAATATAATCAATGTACTGTGATACTCATATTTGAAACCTGGATATCTGATTAAAACATTTGTAATGGAGCTCTTTGCAAGCAGTATTGAGACCATAATGCTGCCATAAAAGAGTGGGTATCATTCAATAATTTCCTTAACACATATATCTCTGTCAAAACAACAATTCTCTATTTGCCCAGTATAAAAACATTATGTGAGGAATGCTCAAAAAACCACATTTATTTTAACCGGAATTAAATGATCAAATTAAACGAGTATGTTGCACATTCAAAGAAGCAATTGATAATTAGAGAAGTTCATAAAGTTAAAAGGTGCGTACAGTAGTTGTTAAGCAATACTTACTGGTTGTAATGGCTAGATTATATGGAGTTCCATCTTCCCTTTTTAGCAAGACCCTCACTCTACCTATTTGCATAAAATCCCGCGGACAAGCCTTATTTATCTACATCATTCAAACACACAAAATTCATATATTAGTACCACTCACACCCACTGCTGGAACTCTATATGCATAAGTTCTAAGATATAGATGGTGCATATGTAATGATTGCAACCTCAATCGCAAATGGGAGCTTGAAATGGCTGCAACAATCACCGATTTTAGTGCAAGTAGGACTCTCACACGCTTTCTCTACACTTATTCGTCTCCCTTCAACTACGGTTTCTTTGAATTAATATAAACATGATATATCACAACCCATCTCTTTATATTGGGGAGGTCCTTATCCATGTCTCAGATAACAAAAATCCTACAAAAAAATAAAATTGAACAGGAAAACACAAACCCATTACATTTCTTCCTTCCTTAACATGAATAAACAAACATCAATCCAGAAACCCCGAAACTCCAGAAAACCCAGATAACGTATGCAGATCTATGATCTATGAACACAAATGGCAGGAAACAGAAACAAGAAAAAAACAAAAAACATATTACACAACCATTACCACATAATTCATCACAACAACAGCAAATTAAGAATATAAAAAATGAAAATAAAAAATTAAGTTAAAAGACTACCTCGTCAGTTGCAGGCTACATAGAGATTTGGGGCTGAGGAAATGAAGATTAGGGTATACAGTGCGCTAGGTGGCCACGGAGAGGAGAAAGACGGAGACAGAGCTTAAAGGAGGTGGCGATAGAATGAGGAAGGTTCGATCGAGCCTAGGTTCCGTTAAACCCTAATGTTTTATTTTTGAGGTGCCTCCTGGTTATTTTGAGGTGCCTTCCTCATTCTATCGCCACATTTTGGTGGGTGGGTATACAGTGTGCTAGGTTGCACGGTTGTATAGAACAGTACCAACCAATGTCGGCAACGTATTCATTATTTATATAATTTCTTACATATTGTCCCCCCGATTCCGTTAACCGATGGTATTTTATTCTAAGAACCGACCGCCAAACTAGATCATCCGATTTGATTCGGCTTATTCACCAAACTTCAAAACAAGTAGGCCAAGTCAAATTGTACCAATTTGTTCAGTTCGACTTGTCTCATTTGTTTCATCGTCGGTTTGGTTCGATTTGATTCTGTTTGATTCGGTCAATTTTTGGTCTAAATGTCCCGCTCTAGTGACCAACATGTAGGCCCTCTTCAAGTGCATGTGAGAGAAGAATAATGTCGGCCACATTACCCGCTTGCATCATTTGGTCCAAACCCAACTACTGTTTGATTTGGGTCATTCATTCTCAAATTTTCTTTTTCAATTAAACGGCCCAAATGTAACAAAGACCCAAAAAAAAAAAAATCTTTTTTAAATTGCTACCTTGTTTCCAACATTCCTTCATTGTTGGGGCACAAAAAAATTTGGGTTAACCCTACACTATTCACATCGCTCTTAAGGTCAAAAACTCTGAGAGGTCATTGTGCTAAACTACTTCATGTCTTTAGAGCATCTCCAGGAGAGCCTCCAAATTTTATTTGAGAAATAGATATTGTAACCGACTCTTTGTACGCGTTTCACGCGTGATGCCTGACCTTGCATCTTCTTCCCTATTTCGTTGGCTGCTGGGACCTGCTTCTCCGGCAGTCTCCCAGCCTTTCTGATATTCTCTCCTACGTCTTCACCAGTAGTTCTTGGATCCATGGAGGAACGTTAATCTGGTGGTGCTTGTAAAAAATATCGGTTCTCTAAGCGTGTTCGGACCGTGGAAGATTGCGATCCTAAGCTCAATCTTGACTCTGCCCCAATTGCAGATCCGATGCAAGATGTTGAGTTGCCTTCGCAGAAGAGCTCGTTTATGGGTGCTAGCAGCTTTAGGGATAAGGTGATGAACAAAGTCAATTTGGTTAAAAATGTGGGTATTGATGTTCATTCCCTTGATGATAATTATGCTGATCTAACTGATGCAGATGATGTGGTGGTTTCTCGTGGTGATAAGGGACCCAGTATCCAATTCTCTGAGAGAGCAATGGATCGCATCTGTAAACCTTGGAAGAATGCCTTAATTGTGAAATTTCTTGGTAGGTCGCATACTTATAACAACATTCATGATCGTTTGCAGCAGAAATGGAGTTTGAAAGGTGGTTGGAAGCTAGTGGATTTAGTGAATGACTATTTTGTAGTGAAATTTGAGTTAGAGGAGGATTTGAATTTTGTTTTGACTGAGGGACCTTGGAGTATTGCTGGGCAGTATCTGGTTTTAAAGAAGTGGAGGCCTGGGTTTTGTCCAACGACTACACATGTCACTCGAATGGCGGCTTGGATTAGAGTCTCAGCTATTCAACTTGAGTGCTTCGATGTTTGGGCTTTGAAGAGGATTGGAAATTTGTTGGGTAAGTTGCTTAAGATTGATGCTCTGACTACTGCTCATAATATGGGTAAATTTGCTCGGCTATGTGTGGAATTGGACCTCACGAAACCTCTTGAGGCTTTTATTCAAATTAACCAAGTGTGGTATAACATAAAGTATGAAGGCCTTCCTGATATCTGTTATTTGTGTGGCCATTATGGGCATAAAAGGGAGCATTGTACTTTGAAAGAGAAGTTTGCCTCAAACAGGCCTGGGGCAGATTCATCTACTACTGGTCTGGAGGGTGGGTGAAGATATTGTTATGGGTCAAGAAGAGAATAGTAAGGAGCTAGATAATCTTCTAGGCCCATGGATGAATGTCCCACCACGGAGGCGACCAAAGAATATGTCTAAGGGGATGGGTAATCAAGGATCTGGCTCTAAGAATCAAGGCTCTTGATTTGATGCTTTTAGGAAGGTTAGTGAAGATTTTGGTTTTGATAATGTTGATTCTGGTGAACTGACAGTTCAAGGGACTGCAAGGAAGTCTTATGTTTCTAAAAATGGTGCTGGTTTTGAGAAGAAAGTTTGGACTAAGGCTAGGCAAACTAATGTTGGGAATAGGGTTGTGCTTTGTGATATTTCAAATAAGCCTGGTAAGTCAAAGGCGTCAGGATTATTCGGTGGTAAAACAATTGTGGGTTTATCTGGGCTTTCTAAAAGTAGTGTGAGTGCTAAAGGCAAGAAGGTTGTGGATGAAAGCAGGGCTCCTGTTTTCGACTCTGTGAATGCCCATATGGATACTTGGGGGAAGGGTCAGAGTTTGTACCAGGAGAATGGGGTCTATATATTTGGACATCAACCTCCAAATATAGCTAATAATGGTGATCATCATGGAATTGATTGTGATCCTGTGGATGATGAGGATTCTGTTGCTTCTTCTCTTCATGGTGGTCAGCTTTTTGATGAAGGGATGGATGTCTCAACAGGTAAGGTGAATGATTCCAGTCGGAATGTGGTAAGCAATGCCTTCAACAATGTTGAAGGTGGGCCGTTTGTCTTTTGATTGTAGGGTTTAGCCCTTGAGGTTTCTTTTCTTGTTGTTGTTTGTTTATGGGTATTCTATGTTGGAATGCTAGAGGTTCGGCTTGCACTAAATTTAGATACACTATGAAATTGATTCATGTTCATCGTGTTGATATTTTGTTTGTCTATGAGCCGAGAATTGGGGGGACAAAAGCTCTTGATGTGGTGAAGTAATTGGGGTTTTCGTGCTTTGAGGTGGTTGATTGCATCGGTTTCTCTGGCGGCCTTTAGCTCTTGTGGAATGATAATAAGGTTAGCATTGAAGTAATTGGTACTACTGATCATACTATTTCTGTTTCTATTGCTTGGCCTGGTCAAAATCCTTGGGATTACCTGAATTTTGTCCCTGAATGTCACCAGTTGCCTTGGATTCTTGCTGGGGACTTTAATGACATGCTGAATTATGATGATAAGTTAGGAGGAGCTCCTCTTTGTAGACTTCAAGGGTTCAGAAGGTGGTTTGATGATAATGGTGTGATTGATCTTGGGTATTCTGGTCCTAAATTTACTTAGAGTAATAAAAGGGTTTATGAAAAAATTGATCGAGTTGTTTGTAATGTTTAGTGGCGAAGGCTTTTTGCTAAGGCTTTTGTTAAGCATTTGCCGAAAACCAAATCTGACCATTGTCCTATTAAGATAAGCCTTAAGTCTAGTTTCTCTTCGTCTCCTAGTTTGCGTCCTTTTCGGTTTAAGGCTATGTGGTTGAAACATGACCACTTTAAGGATTTTCTTAATCAGCAATGGGCTTAAGGAGCTTGCTGTTAATTATTTTTTGGGGTTGTTTGTCAAGGAGCAACGTAGCTGCATTAGTTGGGATCTTCCTAATTTGTTTCCTAGTATTGAGGCTGTTGATTTGGCCAATCTTGTTAGAAGCATTGATGTTCTTTAGGTCAAAGAGAATTTGTTTCATATTGGTGGTCTAAAAGCCCCTGGAGTTGATGGGTTTCCTGCGTGTTTCTTTCAAAATCTGTGGGACCTCTGTGGGAATAACATTTATACTATGGTTTGCCAAACTTTTGTCTCCTGCAATATTCCAGAAGGTTTGAACTCTACCTTGATCACTTTGGTTCCTAAAGTTGATAATCCTTCTTCCATGGTGCAATTTAGGCCCATCAGTTTGTGTTGTATTTTATATAAATTCATTTCTAAGGTTTTGGTTGCTCGTTTGAGGCCTATTATGCCTGGTTTGATCAGCCCCAATCAGGCCAGTTTTGTGTCTGGGAGGCACATTACTGATAACATCCTTATAGCTCAAGAATTAATGCACAAGTTTAGGATTGCTAAGGGAAAAAAAGGTTTTATTGCGTGGAAGATTGACCTTTCTAAAGCCTATGATAGATTGAATTGGCGGTTTATTGAGTTTGTGCTCAAAGAAGTTGGGTTGCCTCCTTCGATTGTCCAATTAATTATGCATTGTGTCTCCTATGTTAAGTATCAGGTTTGTGTGAATGGTGAGCTGACTGAGCCTTTTATTCCTCAAAGTGGCATTAGACAAGGCGATCCACTCTCTCCTTATCTTTTTGTTCTTAGCATTGAAAAGTTGTCCCACATTATTTTTGATGCTGTTAGAAGAAAGAAGTGGAAGCCAGTCAAATCATGCCAGTCTGGTCCTATGGTTTCGCACTTATTTTTCGCAAATGATTTGGTTCTTTTTGCTGAGGCTAGTTCCCAACAAGCTAGGTGTTCGTGCCTAATAAATCTCGAACAACGTAACGTTCTCTTGAACGACGTAATGGCCTGACAACTCACTTGAACGCGTGATGACGTGTCAAAACCCTAGGGTCCGTCGTTTCAGTTGATGAGACGAAACGACGGCTTGCGAGAATCAAGGCAATGATAGCCTGAACGACGTGCTTGAGCATTTAAAGCACCAACTGTCAAAGTCGCTGCGAAGGAATGCAAAGGGTCCATCCCCTAGGATCCATTCGGCCCTTGCCTCAAACCATGGTCGAATAATCCGGGAATGTGGGGGCAATGTTCGTGCCTAATAAATCTCGACTGATAAGGCCGACCAGAAGGACTGCCTCTCAACCACGGCACCTGCCCAAAAGTCGAGCGCGGCAAGGTGTTATATTTCTCAGGATAAGGGTGAGCCGAGAAAGGCGAAACCATCACGGCCTCAGCGATCTTGAGCAAAGAAGAGTAATAACCCCTCAAATACACGGCCAAGATAAGAGCGCCACGTGGTGTCAAGGTCCCACGCTTCATTTAATGAAGTAACGCCTCTGACTACAGCAGAAGACCCACATCACGTAAGAACATTTAATGTGCAAGAGGCAAGGTGATTGAAGTCAGAATATAACGAGTAAAATCAGGGCGATTAGGTGTGAAAATCTTACAACTTGTGGGGTTAAGTCACCAACCATCAGACAAGGGCATTTAATGCTCCTTCAAGACCCAAGAAGCAGAACTCACGATCAGGGCGGCAGCCGGGATTTATGGGGGTCACACCACCATACTCCACGTTCCCAAATGTCGACTCGACTGCCCACTAGCTCTGATCAGCCTCATCATGCAGATTTTCAGAATTGCTGCCTCTTCAGGATTTCTCCTATAAATACAAGGCCCCAACTACGTTTAAAAGGTTCAAACACCACACAAACCTCTCACTGAGCAAATTATATTTTCCTGTCATTTACCTTCTGTCATTTATCTTCCTGTAATGCACTTTCGATACCTTTACTTGCTTTCTTAGGAGTAGTGGCAGTTCGTAGGAAAATCCATTCATCAATATATCATACGACCCTTGATTTTCAAGGCGCTGGAGCACCATCTTTGTCACTCTTCCATTCATTTCATATATCATACGACCGTTGCCAACCAGCGATGCGCCGGAGCACCGCCTAAAAACCCACCATCAACACCACCACTAAAGGCCTTGTAGTTCAGGCCGTGAACCTGACGGCCGAGATCAGTTCCTCTCTCGGCCACAGTCGCTCTGATTAGAAGTCAGACTCAACCAGGAGCACAACTCACCTATTCACCCAATCATACCAACCTCAAACGCACGGTAAACTGTGCTGACACGCCCGCGCACAATCGTACCTCATCAAAGAAGGACGACCTGTGTTGACACAGACCCCCTCAGCCCGGAGCACCAGGCCGCGAGATTTGCGAGGCCAACACTAGGGTGATGAAGGGTTGCTTAGAGTTGTTTTGTAGTGCCTTTGGTCAGACTATAAACTTTGATAAATTTTCTATTCTTTGCTCCCCTAATACCTGTAAGGAGGTGGCTAAATAAATCAGTCTCATATGTGGTTCTCCTCTTATTGAGAACTTGGGGAAGTATTTAGGAATGCCTTTACTTCATTCAAGGATCACTAAGGCTACCTATGGTGGGCTGGTGGATAAAGTTCATGGTAGGTTGGCCTCTTGGAAAAGCAAGGTGTTGTCCTTGGCAAGGAGATCTACTCTTATTCAAGCTGTGACTTCTGCAATTCCTAACTATTCTATGCAAACTACTAAGCTTCCTATAAGTGTTTATGAGGAGCTGAATCATATTAATAGGAATTTTTTCTGGGAAGGCAGTGAGAAAAAAAATAAGGTTCACTTGTGTCAATGGGATTTGGTGTGTAGGCCAAAGAGGAAAGGTGGGTAGGGGTTTAAAAAATCTCATAATATGAACCAAGCTCTTTTAGCCAAGGTGGGGGGGGGGGGGGGGGGGGGGGGGG